AAATATGATTAACCCATACAGATTATTATGGATTATTTAACAGATATATGATTCTGTTAAATAAATTTATATAAAATTTGTATGAAATTGTGTATTGTAATACGTGATGCATTCTCCAATAATTAAAACTTCATATATATATCGCGGTAAATATTTTCAAACTTTTGCAGCTAAATTTCAAGCACGGAAATGGAAATTTATGCATACAGACGTAGATACGGGCCCCCTAACAGTTCTCAGATTAAGGTCAACAGACTTACCAGGTGAATGACTATAAGACAACCGGACAATATTTTGAATTCAAGTAGAATTCACATTATAAACTGCACGAGTTATGTTATCGCACAATACCGATAATGGAAATTATCTTTCTAACCATTTCGAGGACAGCAGCGATGAAATGCGGTGAATTATCGTTAAGTAAGGCAAAGTGATAATACGTGAATACTTTATTTTCTCTCTGCATGAAACAAACATACTCGATGTATATCTTACTTATTTTAATCTTGCTTAAACCACATTACACCGTATTAATAGTTTCTGTAATAATATCATTTATAATTGAACTAGGCTAATTGTTATCGTATATTAATATTAACGATTAAGTTTAACATTGCTTAAAATTTTCATTTAAATAATTATTAATATAAAATACAGAATTATTTCACCATTTATAAAATAAGAATTAAATATGACAGAGAATTCTATCGTGTTGCAAAATAAACGATAAATCGCAATAATGATTATGCTACAATACGCTTGGTTACTCTGATGCTTTCATGTAAAAGAATAAACAATAACTAGTCAATGTTATATTTGCTGAAGAAACATTTTAAAAGTTTTATACGCTACATAAATAGAGAAAAAACTGTCTCGAAAAAGAACTGATAATAAGAATGTTTAATTTATAGATTTACGTATTGTGTGTGCAATGCAAATAAACGTATATAAAGACATGCGGTCCGTTTTTTCATTTCCACCTCCATTAGCTAAGTCAAGCGACAACATGCGTGTAGGTATAGACTTAATGAAACGATTATCATCACCAGCACTTCCAGTTGTGGTCTGGCTACCAGAAGGAAATTACTAGCTTGTGATAAGAAATATATCGTATGCACAAGAAGTTGGAGGAGCTCAAAAGTAGTCGCGTCTATATGTATGTAGATTTTCAAATTGTACTATTACAGTGTTCGTGTTTGTCTATTATTTTAAAATTCCTAGCTGTAAATACTTTTTAGAAAATAAAATTCATTGAAAATAAAACTTGCGTATAGCAAAGTGCGAATTAGTGCTGCATTTTATAACTATAGTGTTTATGTTTTAAGTACCGTTTAAAAATAAAAAAATTATATCAAAAATAGAGTAAATAAACAATATGCCATAAATTGTTCTCAATGACAAAAAGTTAGTCTGCTGATTAGTAAAATTATATGATGTAATTATGGCTAAATTAAATCTTACAAAATGATTTTATTTTTTGTTATTCCATTGCATAGGCTATAATAATATATTTGTATCATATACATGCAAATATAAACAGTGTATTTTTAAAATCTCATTTTCATCTCGTGCGTAGACTTGAGATTATGTTCACAGAAACTTGTCACAATTTGACAATAATAAGTATTATCGATCAGTCTTTTTTAAGATCAATTTATAAAAATATATTGATAGTATATTTTTGCTGCTTAAATAATTTCTAACATCCAGATTTGTTGAAATATATGTATGGAAAAAATAACAATGAACACATTATATAATAATAAATAAGTGACATATAAAGGAGATTATAATTTATCAATTCTCTCATATTATCTCATATGCTGCAGTTAGTTCCAAGGTTATCCATTGGTATATGCGGTTGCAACTGTGTGTAATATATAACATTTCTGATTACTGTTGTATTCACGGATTTATGTCAATATATAATGTTACGCACTTCATATGAATCTTTCGAGATGCATTACGCAATAAAAAAATTGTCATTTACAAAGATTTATAAAGATGGATTGATGATGCTTATCACAAAATAATGGCAAATTATTTCAAACGAAAGAATCTTGAGTTTATGCCCGAAATAAAGACAGGATCTCAAAAATATAAATTTTCGGTAAATAAAAAGTCGCGTGTAAACGATATAACCTGATTTGTTATTGTAAATGTGAATTAATACAGGAGCATATCGATGATTGACGACATTAAGCATGCCGTTGGAAATTGCTTTTCTGTTACGTGAGAGTTAAACTTGCGGGAAACACTGCGGGCGACAAAGGCAACCGGAGATTGATCGAATGCGCTTTACGACGCAAGGCGCAGCAAGTTCGCCAATGTGACGATGGCGATGCGGGAAACTTGAGATTCGAACGACGGCGGCGATCAGTGGAATTGATATACATATTCAACATATGCGAAACGTGTCAGGACCTTCAGCGATGATCACGAGCTACAACGTGATGCCACTAAGAAAGTACGCAGAAATCAGTTACCGCGTAAAATGCGTCGCGGTGGAGAACGAACGGGTGTTCAGCGATGTCTACATCACTCATCAGACGCGGGGTCCGGTTTGCCAGCCGGACGATTATGCTTTTCCGTCGAAGTACAGAAGACGAAGGCGCAACCTGATACAGCGGACTCTGGACGGACCGGATTTCATGAAGCTGAATAGCAAACGGCCGACCGGAAGCGCCGGTATCGCAAAATCATACTGGCAAAGGCGCAGCAAGTCTATAGGGGATGAACCGAGCGTGATCACATTTAATTATGAAAATGCTGACAATCATGACACGGTCGCCAAAAGGCCTAAGGTAAATGTTTGCACAATGCGACTCGAGCTAGATCAATCAATCCTCATCAGGGAGAACCAAGCCAGCGATATAAACGGGTTTAGTTTGAATAGATATCTACCTGTTCTGGTTTGAGAATGTTGACTTAGGCATTAGCATGCGAAGTCGTAGGAGTTGGAATGTGTATCTATTTTAAATTGGTTAGACTTCCTTGAGAAGTTTTCTAAATTTATCTGTCAAATACACGTGGAATATTGACACGTGTATTTTATAGTAAAATACAAAATTAAATTTTTCATATACTTTTATCGCTCTTTAAAATACTATCTGACGATACGGACGATAACATAAGCTAGATGTGTGCTAGAATAAACTTAGGATATAATATTGTACTTATAACACGAAACTTGATACAATAGCTTCACCAGGAAATAGTAGAAGTAGTCACAGTAATATTATGCAAAATGGATAAGTCACTCTTCTTTTTGTTTCTCTTAACTTTGGTGTATATCGTTATTAATATCGCTTTATATTAATCTCTTCTACATTACTTTTCCGGAAACAAACAATACATCGTCTAATGATTGCATTTTAGATATATCCGTCACCTCTGCGCTGTTCGCCGCCGCAAAAAAACATTGTGATTACCTCACTAGTGGATCAACTATTGTTGGACATTTATGGCATTCCGATGGGCGACAAGGGACGTTCAGAAAGCGAATCAACGGCATCGTCCTTGAAACCACGCCCGCAACATCAATATCTGCAGAAAGCTCGTCTGCTATTGAAAAGTAAGACAATTCAATATGAGCGGAATAAATAGGCGTCGCAAAAAAATTGACACGCATGAAAGCTCGCATCTTGTTGATTGAAACTCTCGATAATAAGCAACGCGATCCATTATTGCCAGCGCTCAGCAATAAAATATAAATAACTTTTTATTATAAAATTAAATATTATTACATAATACACTAAACAAAAATATATACATATATTAAATTCATCTGAAAAATACAGATAGCGTTTGGATTTTTCTAAAACGCAGAGCGAATGTTGTTACTTACAAAGCGACTTTTGTAAGTAATATCAAAGATATGAAAAATTTATATTATGCGGTCCATAAATGAGTTTAATAAAAGCATTGAATATTCTCAAAACTGAAAGCTTCTCGAAACCTCTCTTTATTACGTATATTCCAGAACAATAAAAGCGACAGCTTGATGTAACACTCTTTGATTTTTATTCACGATTACAGGAGATTCTCCCCCCCCC